ATTCATAATGACCTACATATATACATACATAATGACATACAGACATACATTGATACTGGCATACATACATTAATACAGACATACATTCATTTATACATACATACAGACATACATACTGATAGACATACAGACATACATTGATACTGGCATACATACATACAGACAGACATATAGACATATATACATACATACTGACAGACATACAGACAGACATATACATACATACTGACAGACATACAGACATCTATACATACAGACATCTATACATACATTCAGACATACTGACAGACACTGATACATGCATACATACAGACATACATTCATAATAACATACAGACATACATGCATACAGACATACATACATACATACATACTGTGGCAAACCTAGCCACTTGGACATTATTTAAGTACTGTCGCTTTAAGGGTTGCCTGTATGTTTTTCGTGTTATGTGTGTTCCAGCTTGTAATGTAATGCAATTGTATAACTGTATTTCCTGCCTTGGCTATCTGCCGAAAGCAGATAGCTGATTCCCTTTCGTTTCACGAACGGCACCTTTGCGGGCCGTTCGTGAACCGAATGAACCATCATTTAATAGCCCACACACTTAGAGAAGTAATTAGAGGCTCTCCAAGCCGTCGTTCGACTACCAACCATATGGCGGTCGGCCATCTTGGATCCTTTGTTCCCTCAGCGGTGTTTGGTCGTCAAGTGCATGGTACTAAAAACGGCTACTCGACGGCGCGAACACCGCTGAGCTTCCAGGCCATTCGGGAGGTCCGGGCCGTTCGGTATCCTGTTCCCTTACATGCAATCGGTCTTTTGAAGATATGTTTTAATGAATGTGTTTTTCGTGCGGCGTTCGGTTGTTTTAGCTGGGATCTGAGCGGTAATCTCACGAATGATGCGCTCTGACCCCAGCTATCTACCGAACGTCCATTCGTTTAAATAGACCGTATATTCAAAGAGTTATACATTTTAATACGAATTGTAGGTTCTGCTGCACAGAGGGATAATCCACTTAACGGTACATTCCTGTGGGAGGATCCCTCTCGTGCAGCAGTGCCTGATGGGAGAAATGTCTTGTACAATAAGTCCCCCATGTAGTCCCCTCTGGGAATGCCCCTGGGAGGGGACTCAGGAAACCCCTTGCATGGGGACTTGTATAAATTGTGGAGCTGAAATAAAGACCTCAGTTGACTCCCAGCCTATGTGTCATCTAGTTCTTGGGAAGGAAGGGTTACTACAGTGCTACTTGGATTACTGCATGCTGATTCCCCTGGATTATCCTTTGTTGTTCCTGTTACCCAGCGGAGATATTGTGGATTATACTGCCTCTCCGCTACACATACAGACATACATACATACATTCAGACATACATACATTCAGACATACAGACATACATGCATACAGACAGACAGACATACATGCAGACATACATACATACATGCATGCATACAGACAGACAGACATACATACACACACGCAGCTCATTTTCTAGCCACCCTCCTGTCTCTTACCTTTTCTTTGCAGGAGGGTGGCTGGGGCTCCCTCTTCACTGCCGCGCGCGCGCTCTTCCTGCGCGGAGTGACCACTTCTTCCCAGCAGCACTTGCTGCGGCTGCTTTTTTTTTTTTTTAAAGGGGCCCGGTCGCGCTATAACACGGCCACAGCGCTGACCGGGCCCCTGAAGAAGGGGGCCCATCGGGTGGCCCTGAGTGCGCATCTCGATGGGCCCCATCAGCGTGCGGGCCCCGGTGCAAGTGCACCGGTGGCAGTTCCGGAGCTACATGTGGGGCCCGGGCTGCCGGGCCCCCCAGGGCCACCGGGCCCGTGACTAGCTCAATCAAATGTGAGTGGAATCCCACACAATATTTTGATTTGTACCTTAATATACTGTATTGAACTATTATTGTGTCTCTTTCTGTTACTTTGAGGTTTAAAGTACCATAATATCTGAAAATATATGTACGTATAATTTTTTGGGCGCGGTATATGCCATTTTCTTTTTTATATTTCCAAAGTGGCTCTACATGATGAGAATGATACCTCTTCCCATCCCAGAGAGTTGGTTAATGATAATTCAACATGCATTTTTAACATTTACATGGCAAGGTAAAAAAACAAGAATGGCTAGTAAATACTTAGCCCTGACAAAAATACAGGGTGGTGTGGATTTTCCAGTAATCCAACAATATTATAAAGCGAGTTTCTTTTTCATGTTTAATCTTTTTTCTTTTATTATTTTAAGAACATAAAATATTACATGACATCAAACATACACACATAAAATATTACATTATTCACAATATATTGACATACATAAATATGCATCTCTACATATATAGCTTAATACTATATCTGGTTCTAACTTGTGTAGAAAATGTAAGATGGGTAACTACATACTTGCCAAAATATGTTAATATATACTTTAGAGTTGCTGTAACTTACTGAGCCATTCTTTCATCCTATTTCCTTCCTTGACAGTGCTTTTTTAAAAAAACATTCCGTGTTTATTGGGTTTTCAGGTTTTCACAATAAAAGAGAAAAAAGGCATACATTACATAGACATTTGATATGCATGATTTAACAGACAGAGGCATGTGATACGTATGGTTTTGCGGATCTTTTAGTCGGTGCCTGTCTGTTTGGCTGCGTCATGTGAGGTCCTCCCTCCCTCGTGGTATTGGTGTGGGGTCCTGCTGTATGGCCTAGTGTTTGGGGGGTATTGGTGCTTTGGGGTCTCATGTTAGGGAGGGCTCTTTCAGCCACAGGTCCCAAATTTTATAGAAGTGATGTGATGTTTCGTGGATCTTGGCTGAGAGCCTGTCCATCTCCATGGCCTCCCTGGTTTTGCATATGACTACAGCGTTATAGGTATATTCGGGGTGCCCCAGAGTTCTGCTATTGCTCGTCTAGTTGCTAAGGGCAATCTGTTTGTCAGTTTGTTTTGTGCTCTAGTTAGGGGTTCCCATGGCTTGGACAGGAGCCATATCCAGGGGTCTAGGGGTATGTCGGTGTGGAGGAGGTCGGAGATCAGATGTGCTACTTCTGTACATAGTGGTGTCAGCTTGGGGCATTGCCACCAAAAGTTTATATATGTGCCCCTTTGTCCGCACTGCTTCCAGCACAGGTCTGAGTCTGTTTTATCCACGTGGTACAGCCGTGTAGGTGTTAGGTACCATCTCAGCATAGTTTTGTAGGCCTGTTCATTATGATTTACACATATGGATATGGATGCCATGGCCTTCCATATCTCTTGCCAGTCTGTCGGGTCGTCTCCCAAGCCGCCACATATGCCATTGCTCCCGGTGGTTGGTTAGTGATTAATAGTGTGTAATTGTTAGTGATCTGTCCTTTGTGGGTTGGGTTGTGTATGCATGTTCTTTTGAAAGTTGTAAGTCTGGTGGTGGCTGCTGTTGTGTTTTCTGGGAGTTACAGGAAGCTTCTCAGTTGTATGTATCTGAAGAGGTCGTGAGTGTTGTATGCTTGGTGTGATTGTGGTAGTTCATTGTAATGTAGTAGCTTCCCACCAACAAAGAAGTGGTAAAGCCTAAAGAGGTCATTGTATTCATAGTGTGCAAATTCTTTCGGGTTCATGCCTGGGGGAAGGCTTTATTGTGCAGTATGGGGGTTAGTGGTGTTGGGTTATTGATGATGGGGAATTTCTTGCTGAGTTTGTCACATATGGCGATGGTGTTTGATAGTGTTGGGGGTGTTGGTGGTGGCATGGGTCGGGATTTTCTTGGTACCCAGAGGTAGAGGGAGGGGAAGTCGAAGCCAAATAGGTCGTGTTCCAGGTTTCAACCCACCGTTTGATCCCTGGTGGTGCGTGGAGGTTTTGTATTTGGGTGCGTTGGGCAGCATGGTAGTAGTGTTGGAGATGGGGTAGACCCAGACCTCCGGTTCTATTGGGGATGTACCTAGTTGTTCGTTTTACTCTGGGTCGTTTTTTCGCCCAGATGAATTTGTCTATGTGTGTTTGTATGTATTTGAAATCCGAGTTGGTTATTGGGATGGGGAGGGTCTGGAAAAGGCAAAGAAAGCGTGGTAGCAGATTCATCTTTATCAAGGCTAGGCGTCCCAGCCACTACAAAGACAAGTCCCCCCAGCGGAGCAGGTCGTTTTTTGTATCAGCGGAGTGAAGTTCAGTCCGTATGTGCGGTGTAGTGCCATTGGTAGAGCGATTCCTAAGTATGAGATGTGTGAGGTGACGGGTTCGTGAGTGGCAATAGGAGGTCGTCGGCGTACGCCGCTGCTTTGTATGTTTGTGAGCTTACTGTGATACCTGTGATCGTGTGTGTAGTGCGAATGAGGTGCATTAAGGGTTCGAGTGAGAGGGCAAAGAGGATGGGGGACAGTGGGCAGCCTTGCCTCGTTCCATTTTTTAGTGAGAAGGTAGGTGGGTTTGTGTTCAGTATGAGGAGGTTGGCCGTGGGGTTGATGTATATTGTTTTGATTGCATCTTGGAAGGGTTTAGGGAAGCCGAGTTTCTCCAAGGTGGCAAAAAGGAATGGCCAGAGAAGTCTATCAAAGGCCTTCTCGGCGTCTAGGGATAGGAGAAGGGTTGGGATGTTGCGTCGGTTTGCCACCCAGATCAGGTCTAGCATCCTTCTGGTGTTGTCACTGGCTTGTCAGGTGGGGATGAAACCCACGTGGTCTGGATGGACCAGTTTGGTGAGGAATGGTAAAAGCCGGTTGGAGAGTATTTTAGTGAAAATCTTCACGTCTACGTTTAAGAGGGATATGGGCCTGTAGAGGCCTGGGTCTTATAGGGGTTTGTTGGGCTTGGGTAAGAAGCAGATGTTAGCCTGTAGCATTTCTTTGGGGAGTAATTATCTTCGTAGTAGGGAATTATATAGCCTTACCATATGGGGCAGTAGAGTGTCTAGGAACGTTTTGTAATAGATGCCTGAGTATCCATCTGGGGCCGGGCTTTTATTTGGTTTGGTGGCTCCAATCGCGGCTGCCACCTCCTGCTCCGAGATGTCGGCCAAGAGTTGTGCGAGTGTGCCGTCTGGTAAGGTGGGTAATTTAGTTTGTTTGAGGAATGTGTGAATGCGGTCCGTTAGGTTGGAGGTGTTTTGTCTGTGCTGTGGGAAATGGTTGTATAGATCGGAGACAAATTGTTATGGGCAAATGCAAATATTACAAGTTTTAGAATTAAATGTTGTATTTCTTAAACTGTGTACTTTGTCTTTAAGAGATATTGCAAACTGACAAGGTGTTAGAAATGGAACATTTTGTTTTTCATAACTGTTTCTTTAAGCAATAACCTCAGTGCATAATATGTTTGCGCCATTTTGTCCCAGACGAATTACAATAACAATAATGCATAAACAAGCTTCAAGACTATGCTACGACTCTTTCAGTACACAATATACTGTGGTAACCTTAAGTAGATAAGGATGTCCAGACTTTAAGATGCCATCTTGAACTAAGTCAGGAAAATTTCCATGACGTATACACCCTTTAGTTATGGCCTTGTATGTTTGCCAAGTTAAGGGAGGTCCTAAAATGAATAAAGTAAAAGAAGTGTTACTTTTTCATATATGAACTACGGTAACCCTAAAATGGAGACACCTAAGGTATAAATAGGTGTACTTTTAAATGTTAAGACACAGAGGAGAGACAGACGCTGCTCCATCTTAAAATGACAGCGAGAGGCTGACATGATGACATGTTCAAAAGCGTATGTTAACCTATTAATGATATTTGCAAGCATTTAGTTTAATCGTATAAACTCTGCTATAATGGATTTTATATTTATATTTTTATATAATAAATATCCAAAAAGACAAAACTATTGCTTCCAAGACAATCCTTATTTTATATTGTATTCTCAATTATTTATATATTTTAAATAGAGGATCTCTTACACTAACTATATAAAATTATGGCTAAGATATCTGTATGCTTTACTAAGTTCTATGCTTTAAGACATTATAGTGGTAAATAAGGGAACCAGCCACGGTTACACACCTTTCGTCCCATGTGTTGTGGTACATCACACGGGGGTCCTCTCAGTGCGTCCCACTATGGGCTGGTTTAGTTGAGGATTCGAGCGCAGAGGGTGTAGGGGGCCTGTACTGGGCCTTTCCTGTGGGTATTGGAGATTGCTAGTGGGCTGGGGTGGTTAGCCTGGATTCCCCGTTCTTTTGGGCTGCTATGGTGTAGGGCGTGTTTAAGTGTGAGGGTACTGAGGTCCTGGATCAGTGCTTGGGTGTGCTTTCGTTAACATTGATCATCACAGTTCCCCGCTTCCACCTTCCTTCCCCGCTTCACTGATACCCAAATGTGTCCCGTCCCTGCTTTTTCCTTCCCCGCCTTCCTTTTCCTTTTTCCCCCCTATCCTGTTTAGCGCCTTTTCCTATCCCTTCTATTCCGGCCCCATTTCCCCAACTCTTTAAGTAGCGTCCCAGTATTCTTGCTCAGTCCTTTCACTAAACTTTGTAATTATTAACAGATATACAGTTCCAGCAAAGGATATATGTTTGAGTACTTTTTGTCCGGGTGGTCGATGGCGGTTCTTCTGCTCTGCTGCCCAGAGCAGTCCCTGCAGATTCTCGTGTTCACGGGTCATGGTGCTTGTCGGATGAGTTGCAGCTGCTTCTTGGCTGGACGGTTCTGATGTGGTCGTGGCGTTTCCCAGAGTAGTGCCTGGGGGATTCTGGTGCTGGTCGCTGGGTTTGTAGATCTTACTAGTGGTTCCTGGATTCGGATGCCCAGTGTTGCTGTGAAGGTCGCCATTTTGGAGATGTCTTGGAGGACATGTGTGGTGTCATGCTGGCGTACTAGGAGATTGAATGGGTGCCCCCAGCGGTACGCAATGTTCGCCTGTGCCTGTGTGTTAGTGAGAGGTTTGAGTTCTCTGCGTTTGGCAAGGGTGATGGGTGATATCTCTTGATAAAATTGCAACATTGTGGCGTCGAATTTTGGCGTTTTTTTTTTCTGGTGACTGTCATGATGGCTTCCTTTTTTTTTTAATACTTTATTTTTTAATGAAGCATTTGACATATACATGATGCATGAATAAAAAAGGCAAAATTTATATCAAACCACAAATAATGTAAACCAAAATGGCTATTTTTAAAAAAGAAAAAAATTGGAGAGGTGAAAACAATGTTAAAGAGTTGGCTAAGATAGAAAGTAAATGGATTTTTGAAGTAGATTCTCTATCCCCTAATGGACTTAATTTAGATTTCGAATTCAACCAATTTTTAAATTAACAATATATAGATTATATGGTTTTTATATATTTTTTATAATTTTTCATATTTTATATATATATATATATATATATATATATATATATATATATGTTTTTTATAGTTTATTTTAATAAATATAAAGGAATTTTTTCCAAAAAAACGTTTTTCCAATTTAAGAATGTTTTTATTGCTTTTATTGACTTCCTAACTATCACCTTTATTATATCTGTATTATTTCTTTTTTATGCTTTTTTCTTTATATATCTTTTTTATGTATACATTTTATATACTAATTTTAGATATGTGATGAGAGAATTACTTTTCTTCTAATACTTATTGTTCTGTCTGTTCTGAGCCCATATTTTTACATATTAAGGACTTTTCATCCGGCGGTATAATATGGCATGGTTATGTTTGCATTCCACCATGCGTTCCACCATGCGTTCCACTATGCGTTCCACCATGCGTTCCAAATGCCGAAAACCGGAAATGACGTCATCCGAAAATACCGGAAGTGACAAAATTGAACGGAGACCACGCACATGTGACTGTAATTACCGGGTGTACTTAAACAAGCTCCGAAGATCACAACACCAGCACTTGAAGAGGGCTTCTGAGCCGAAACGCGTCTGCTGCTATTCTTTTATTACACAGCTGTATGTTATATTAGCTTGTTATTATTTTACTTGTTTGCTCTTGGTTATATTTGGGGTAAGTGGATATCCTTTTGTCTGCATCTTTTTGAATTCCACTCCCCTAGCACCTTGAGTTTTGGATTTTTTATCTTCAATAAATACATATATTTTTTCCTGAAACTTTCTCCATCTACTCTTTGGAATTCCATTAGCCTGTATTGGCACCCTTGGGTCTGCTATATAGAGCCTGGTACGGCTCTGCCAAATGTGAGTGACAGTCTGTTTTGCCCTACCTCATATTTTCTTATTACAGATTACACTATGTTGTATTTTATTTTATGCTTTTCGATATCACCTGATGATATTGTCAAGCTCAGGTTATATTTTTGTATATATTTACTATCACTATCTCACTTTTTGGTTTACATTATTTGTGGTTTGATATAAATCTTGCCTTTATTATTCACGTTTTATTTGTGTTCAGGAAAACACTTTTATATCTACCACTACTTTTATCTTTATATTCACGAAGCGCCTATACACTATCCACTTGTTTTTCTTATATACATGATGCATATCAGAACATGCCAGAATCGTATTGTGTTACATGCGTTTCTTGGTACTGTCACATTGCGTTTTTCACATTTATCAGTTGTTGCTTGGCGTTACAAGTTGTCAAAATACATTCATTATTTTTAAGCAAATTAACATTTATCTATTTACTGTACTTCAAAGACTGTATAACCTAACTTGCAAACATTATCTGCTGTATCTTTTGTTTCTGACCACCTATCCGGCCGGGTTCTTGTCACCCGTCTCCACTTGAGTGTATGATGGCTTCCTTGAAGGTGAAGTAATGTAGGCGTACTATGACATCTCTGGGTGCGGATTGGTTTTGACTGGGGGGCTTCAATGTCCTGTGTGCCCGGTGTATGGTCAGATATTGTGGCGTAGCTTCTGGTAGGAGGGACATGAAAATTTTGCGTAGCGTGGCGGGTATCATGTCCGGCGCTACCGCCTCAGGGAGGCCCCTTCTCCTTATAGTGTTACATCTTGAGCGGTTGTTCAGGTCTTCCATACCTGTTTCCAGAGTTTCCACTCTGTGTCTCAATGTGGAAATGTTTCCCTCATGTGCCTTTAAGGTGTTTAGGAGTTCGTCTGCTCTCTGTTCCACCTGGTCTGTTCTCTCCCCCAGGTCTGCTATTTCTGCTTTTATGCTGTGCAGCTTCTTCTCCAGCTCAGCTGCCATGTGTGTCTTGATGTCTGTGGCTGCTTCCTTTAGCAGGAGCTGCAGATCTTATTTTGTTAGAGGAGCTGCTGCTGAGTCTGCTGCCTCACTCTGGTCTGAGTTTGAGGCTGTGTCGTCTGCCTGTTGTGGGGAAGATGGCGCCGGACCGCGCTGGGACCGGAACATTGGTGTTTGATCCTGCTTTTTGCGGCTGCCGCCCATGTCGGTAAGTGGGTGCTGGCGTCCTGGTGTGTGTGTCTGTGTCTTTGGGGGGTCTGCATGCTGATTTTCGCTGAATTAGTGGCTTTGATTGGCGCCGATGGTGGGAGATTGCGCGCTAAGCGGCCATCTTCATACCCGGTCAGGCTCCGCCCCGCTATATCACTTGATCTTTAACTGCCTGCCATACTGGAACTTTAGTAGATTTCCAATTTCTGGCCACTCATATTTTAGCTTCTAACAAAATATGTATAATCATTGTAGAATATTTCCCAAAATTTGGGGTTATGTATAATTGCAACAAAAAGATATCCGTCTTTATATCAAACTTAATATTGGTCAGCGCCTTAATCTTTGATGCAACCATTTTCCAATACAAAAAAATTGGACCACACTCCCACCATATGTGCACCATTCCTGCTGTTTGAGTCTCACAATGCCAACATTTATCTGAAACACCTATATACATTTTAGCTATCCTTTTTGGTGTTAGATACCACTTGTTCATAATTTTATACTGTAGTTCCACTAGGTTAAGGCAGTGTACATTCTTTGTGAGGATATTTAATGTTTTTTTCCATTCTTCATAGCTTATGTTAGTGCGGATATCCTCTTTCCATTTATTTATTACAGGACGGATGATATTTTCCGGTTCTTTTTCGGTTATATCAGAACATTTTGAAATAAGTTTTTTAATAAAATTTTGATTTTTTATTATTTGTTCTAGAATTACTTGTTTATTTATCTTGTAAATCCAACTCTTTCCTAAGTTTGTTCCATATAGGTATAATATTATTTAGGATTAAGCTATTAGAATCGGATCTCTGTCTGTATTTACATTTATTATGCATGTTCCAGAAAAGAGAACATAATTCTACTTTTTTATCACCATTAAATAAACTTTGCTCAACTTTGTACCATAATTGATCTTTTACCAAATCTGATTTGGTTATTATTGCCTGTGCTATATTACATGCTCTCCAAGTTGGTTGTATCTGTGGAATTCCCAAGCCCCCTACTTTTGTTTTTAACATTGAATGGTCACAACTTAATCTTGGATGTTTCCCATCCCATATAAATTTATTAAAAATTGATTGTACCAAAGAGAGACAGCTTTCTGGACAGTACAAAGGCACCATGCGGAAGAGATAGACCCACTTTGGATATATATAAAATGTAATCATATTAATTCTCCCCAACCAGGATGCCTCCACTCCCCTCCATTTTTTCAAGGTTTTGCCTGTTTCTTTCAAGAGCTTTAAAATGTTTTGTTCCATCATTCTATTTGGCTCATTAGTAATCTCTATACCTAGACATTCCATAGAATTCCTATTGCAATCAAATCCAAATTTATCAGATAATTTGCATTTAGTAGTTGGTGTGAGATTAAACGGGAGTGCTGCAGACTTGTTTAAATTTAGCTTATATCCTGAGTATATAGAGAACTCCCTTATAGTACCCATGATTTTTTCCATGGGATCAGTCAACGTGAGTACCACGTCGTCCGCATACATTGTTAGCTTTAGTGACTCTCCCTCTCTCTCTACTCCTTTTATAGACTCGTTATCTCTTATTTTATTCGCTAGGGGTTCTATGGTGATCAAATATAGTAGAGGGGACAATGAGCACCCCTGCCTTGTACCATTCATCAACTGAAACCAGTCAGAAAAGAAACCACTCCCTGCTAACCTGGCCATTGGGAATGTATACAGGGCCATTATGGCCCTGATAATATTACCCTGTAATCCAAAGCTACATAATGCACTCTCCAGAAAGTCCCACCTTACCCTGTCAAACGCCTTTTCGGCATCTAATCACAGGGCAAGGAGGGATAGATTCCCATTAGTTGCCAAATCTGCGACATCTATCAATCTTCTGATATTGAAAATTGGAGATCTGCTAGCTATAAAGCCTACTTGATCTTGATGAATAATTGTAGGTATTATATTAGCGATCTTATCCGCTAAAACTGACAAAAAAAAATTTATAATCGCTATTTAACAGCGAAATGAGTCTATAGTTTGTTACTAGTTCTGGGTTTTTATCCGGCTTTGGGATAGGCACAATGTGAGCCTTCAGCATCTCTCTAGGAATATTTCCACATATCATAAAATGATTGAACATGTCTGTAAGTAGTACAATGATATTTCCTTTAAACATTCTATAGAAACAGTTGCTGAACCTATCTGGCCCTGGCGCTTTCTTTTTCTTTAGCTTTTTGAAAGCTGTTTCTACTTCAATTAGCGAGATAGGTTAATTTAATAATGTCAACTGTCTCTCTGTTATCCTTGGAAGTTTAAGTTGAAGAAATCTGACATTTTAATTCCTTTTCTCTCTGGTAGATTATATAAGCCTGAATAATATTCTTGAAATGTTTTGCCGATCTTATCTGGTGACAGAATTAATTATTTTCCTGTTCTTATTTTAGAGATAATTTTTTTAGTTTTTTCTTTTTTTAATCTATGTGTTAATGATTTATCCGCCTTGTTCCCTTTATAATATCATGTTCTTTTTAAATGTTCTAAGGCTAAATTAGATTTATAAATCAAAATGTTATTGTCTCTCTTGTTTGTTTTAATT